ACTATGAATATTGGTGTTGAGTAGTATCATATATATAAAGAGGGGGTAAAAGTCCCAAATTTGTTAAAACCCTAGTTTTGATTTGGGAAATATGATGCTTAGATGGAATTGGATTTCAACCCTTGAATGGTGTGGATAATTAGAGTTTGGAATGTATTATTAATGTATTTTTAGTTGAGATTGTGGACTTGGAAATTTATAACCCATGTATTTATTCTCATGTTTTATTGAATACTTGATTACTTGGAATGTGATAAGAAGATGAGGTAAATAGAGTGTGAGTCCAGGTAGGGAGTCGGTTTTGAGAACAAGGTGTTGTGTTGGTACCCACGCAGGGAACCGGACCAATGTGGAAAACATTTTTGGGTGTCTGCTGGTCCTGCGGTATATAATCGGTAAAAGTGGAAAAACAGATGGTTTTGGGTGTCCATCACTCGCCGCATTAATAGCCAGCAAATGTGGGAAATAGTTATAGTTGTAAACCCATATGTATATGTATTACGGGGCTCCTACGAGGGATTCATGGCATATTTACCTCCTGTGTTGAGAAAAGTTTTCGATTGCTATGGAATAAAATAATTGTAATTGTTTTCTTAACCGTGAAATTTTTGGACATGAACTCTAAAATTTTATTTGAGTTATGATGATGCCGCTTAGATATTCAAATGATTAGATATTCTGTTAAATGTATCTCTACTGGGCATATTGCTCATTCCTATCTAACATTTCCAGAAGTGGTGATGTGCCACCATCTCAGTAAGTTGAAGCATACTCTTTTGCTTTGGATTAGAGCGCCAAGGCTCTGGGATGTGTAAATATGGAAGCTCCAAGCTTATTTTTTAGGACCGTGAGTCCATTTTTGTTGTAACAAGGCATTGCCTTGAAGTGTTGTAAGCCTTTAAGGCTAATTATTTTGTCCTATAACTTATTGAACTATGTTATATATGGAAGTGTAATTATTATGTTAAATGTGGAACTGTACAGGAAAAATCCTAGTTCAATAAGGAAGATGGATCTTTTGAAGTTAACTGTGTTTTGATAGATGTATTTATATTATGTCTTTTGGGGGCATTACATGTCAAGTTATTGATCTTAGATCTCTTACATAACCAAATAAGCAGTTTTTGAAGTTACGATCTAAAGTAGAAAACGAAACAGATTTGTGTTGAGCCTGATCTAAGGAAGGAAAGGTTGAGGTTAGCCACCTTTGTAAACTGGAAGCTTGCCAACGCTAGAGCCTTACGCCGATTACGTTCAGGTAATGGTCAAAATCTTAAGATACTGTTCTTATTTTGGAAGTATAGTAAACCTAAAATCAAAACATCTTAAAATTATAAGAAGTAATAAGTTTTTCCTTTTTATAAGTGTTTATCATCATTTCTATATCTAAGATTTGTTACAAGATCAAAATCAAGTACTAGTATACCTTTTTACAAAATCTATTAAATACCGGTACTTTTAAAGATGTAGAATTTACTAGAAAAAGAGTTGGTAAAATGTCTCAAGAAATTGTATATTATCAAGAACAATCAGGTTTAGTATCTTAAAAAAATTTAATTAATTAATTATTTTTCACATCATCGCTACATCATCAAGCCACATCATTTGGGCAAATTTGGGACACAAAAAATTCGAGCTACCAACCACCCCCCCCCCCCCCCAAAAAAAAAAAAAAAAAAAAGGGTGTAGAGAGAGAGCCAAGTCATAAATAAGGATATAAGATTAATGATGGGTATTGTTGTATTTGGGTTAGAATAATGAGTAATTCTACTCACACCACTAATTAACCTCTTTATACCCTCTATCTCATTGCACCACCAAAAAAAAATGTGATTCTCATTACACCCATTATAATAACAAAACTAACTCTAAACTAAAAACTCTTTCGGTTTTGTCACTACACCGATAACTCTTGGTAATACAATGCTAAAGTGAATTACTCAAGTATTATGTTACCAAACAAACTAATTTTTTCCGTCCATTTGTTGTCATTCAGTTGGATGCTTTTACTTTACTTTAATAAGAAATTAGTTGGGGTCCATTTGTGAAGTGTCTGTTCGGTGATACATTATTATACAAATTAAATTACTCTAGTGTCATATGGCCGAACTAAAATAAATTTGTCCAGCCACCTGTCACTTTACGTGCGTTGTAGATTGTCTTCATTATTGTCGTATTAAAGGCATTCCTTCGTTTCAATGCAATCAGTATCTCTTTTGGTCGCACCATACTCTTTGATATGTCAACTAACAGGGATGTTTCCTCCTTAGATAATCTACCAGCAAATGAGTGCCCTTTAAGATGTTTAGCAGCTAAATGATTGTATTTGCATTGCTGCAATAAATAAAAACATAATCGTTCTAAGCAAAATATATATATATATGTATATACATAAAATGAAATTGAAAATGCACGATAATGAGTAACCAAATAGATTTAAAATGTTTGGGCTTAGGTTATCATAAATGTATCTTTTATTTGACAGTAGATTACCGGATATATATTTTTTGTTTGGCAATATGATTCTAAACTATTTTATTTTGTTCGATTTTGACACATCAAACAAAATTTGAAGAACTCTCTAAAAAAAGAAACGAGAACCTACCAAATAAGTTTAAAAAAATTCATCATTTCACTTTTTTGATGGTTTTTTACCACTGTTTTTTCATCCATTACTATCTTCTATGATTAAAACACTAAGATTTTTACTTTTTAAAAAGAAATATGTAACAGAGAATAAAAGCTAAAAAAGAAAGAAGAGCATTAGGGATTGAAGAACAATAGATATAAGGAGATAATAAAATACATTTAATTTTAATCTTTTGTCATTAATAGTAATTTCACACATAGGTAAAATTAGAAGAAAAAAAAAAATCTCATATGAAGAGTGTAAAAAAAATAAACTAATGATATAAGTAGAATTATTCAAAAAATATCATTAAATTAAGATGTTCCACCTACATTTTAAAGTACAAATTAGGGGTACTCTGCGAATATTTCGATCCGTTCAAACAGACCGAACCGAACTGATCCGCTGCATTTTGGACAGATGCGTGATGATGAGCGGACAGTTATGGATTGATTTTTTTCAATTCGCTTAGTTTTGGATGGATGGCGAATTTGAGGTTCTTTTGGCCGCAACCGAATTGCCAAACCGCGAGCACTCCTTGTAATTTGTAAGATTTTGTGTTTTCAATTTATTTAGATATTCTGTTTGTATTTTCAATTGGAAAAAATTTTAGACATTTTGTTGTGTTTTCAATTTAGAAATCCTTTTATCAAATGACAAGTATTAATATTTGATATTTTTGTGTGAAAAATATAAAGCTTAATTTTGTTATTTAAAAAAAAAATCAAATTAAATAGGTTTTGAATTAAAAAAAAAGTAATGAAATAGTTTTAATAATGTATGATTTTCTTATATGTATTTATTATTGGTATTTAACAATTTAATTGATAATGTTTTGGTTATATTGAGTTAGATTGTTATTCAAAAAAAAATGTTGACAAGTTGTATTATGTTTAAAATTTATAAAAGTTTAAACTGCCAAACCAATTCCTATCTATCTGCCAATTTATTAATCCGCTCAATCTGCATCCGTCAATTCAATGAACGGATGTGGATTAATTTTTTTTATCTACAAATTCGACGAATGAATGACAAATTAAAAATTCTCCCATCGCAACTAAACCGCGACCACCCCTAATACAAATAGAAGCTCCCAACCTACTTTTTAAGATACAAATAAATGAATATAATCAAAATATGGGCCCCTAACATGAGTAATGTAAAGTTCATAAGATTACTAAACGAATATAATCAAAATATGGGCCCCTAACATTACTTTGCTCTTATTTAACCTAGGTTGCTTACTAAAGCTCAAATAGAACTCTAATTTTAGAGGGATGACTCATAACCCTTTTGACAAACTCCACTGGCATTGCACCCAAGAAAAGCAGTTCTGGGATAAAATTCAAATTTAAATCTTATCTAGAAGTTGAAATGCATGAACAATATTTATTTTGGGAAAATGCCTCGTAGCTCGATTTTTAAGGCTCGAGTTTGGCTCGACAGGCTGTCTTTTTTCTTTTTTTTTTTTCTTTTTCTTCTTTATTTCTTTCCCCTCCATTCGAACACAGAGACGGAGAGGGAAGAGAAGAAGGTCGCCCAGCCCGTCGCCGCCGATCGCCCAGCCCTCGCCTAGCTCGTCGCCGCCGATCTCCCAGCCCGTCGCCCAGCTCCGATCGTCGCAGCAGCCTTCTCCTCCTCCTTCCTCCTTCCACCTCCTCTTCCTCCTCCTTCCTCCTCCTCCGCCCCGCCTCCGCCTCCGCCTCCTCCTCCCCCTCTGAATATGCCCCCTCCAGTCCTCATCCTTCCTCCTCCTCCCTCTCTTCTCCTTCTCTTCTCCACCCTTCTTCGAGCCACAGATTCGAGCTACGAATCGGAACCGCAAAAAAAATAAAAAAAATTCAACCAAAATTTTTTATCCCAAATAAAAAAATTAAAATATCAAAAAAATAAAAAAAATAAAATTAACTTTTCCAGACGAAAACTTTGACTTTATTGTGGCAGAATGCTTAGAAGTTAAGCAAAGGACATTTTCACTGAGGAAGAGCATGAAAGCGACACGCGTTCGCCACGTATCAAACTCTCAGGCATTAAAGGATGAGAGAGAGAGAGAGAGAGAGCAGAGCTTTATTGTGTATTGCAACTGTGAAAGAAAGCGCTATGAATCACCCAAAAAAACTGAAATGAAATGAAAGTAGAGAGGTCTATCTTCTTGTTCTGCTTCTCTGTTGCGATATTAGTCCCAGCGGTGGTAGTTGTATCTCAAATTCAATCTCAAGAAGAAGGCTTTATTTGTAGCACAAACATGGCTACTCTCGGAGGAATACACGACTCTCATTCGTCCAACCAGAACACCGCCGATATCGATAATCTCGCCCGATTCGCCATCCAAGAACACAACAAAAAAGAGGTTTTTCTTTCTTTATTTTTTTGTTTTTGTTTTATTAGGGTTTGTATATCTAATATAACTATACTTTTGGCTTGAACACAATTTCTGTCATGCTTTTTTTTTTTTTTTGTTTTGATTTGTCAATCCCCCCAAAACAATCCCACTTTCTGGTGGGTTGTAATCATGATCCATTTTTGCATATGGATTTTTTTTAAGCTTAATATTGTTAACCTCATAACAAAATAAAAATAATAATGAAACACATCTAGGATAAAATTACATCAAATGCCCTAATTGTATCGAATCGATTTAATCCCTAGCTGTAAGAGAGATAGTCATTGTCAAGATAATGGTTTACTCAGGGCATAATTGATCTGGTTAGTAGTGGCAACATGAGTAACTTGAAGTAACCTTTAGAGACTTTGTTATGCACAAAGTGAAAATCAATGGCTATATGCTTCACACATGAGCAGAAAACCAGATTGGCTCAGAGATAAGTTGCTCCAACATTATCACAATATGCGATTGGGGTTTTGGTAACCCATTTCACTAAGTAGACATTGGACCCAAGAGAGTTGTGCGTCAATGGCAACATCACAATACTCGGCTATAGTATTGCTACTTGTTGGGTGGGTGGGTCGGGGGGAGGGACTGAGATGATGCTTTAAAAATAAAACATGATTGAGAGTGCCCTTTAGATATTCGAAGAAAATGTTTGGTCGTTGTCCAATGAGACTCTGAGAGTTGATGCATAAATCGATAAGAGTTGATGCATAGCTGAGCAAGCTTATTGACTACATAAGCGATGTTGGATCTTGTGATAGGAAAATATTGGAAAGCATGAATGACATTGCGATGTTCGGTGCACGAGCTGATGGGGAGCCATTATGAAGAACAAGAGACCTCGTAGTAGGTGAAGGAGTGCTAACTTCTTTTGAGCCAACCATAATAGTGTGTTTTGATGCTGCAAAATATGTTAATGCTGAGAAAGAAAAAAACTAGTAAGAGTGGAGAGGACCTCAATATTGACAAAGTAATGAAGAGATCCTAAATACTTTATTTGAAATGGATGTGCGTGAGCACATGTAAATTTAGAAATAGAAGATGTGTCATTCCCAGTAACTATAAGATCATCAACAGAGACGAGGAAATAGAATATAGTATCATTGTGATTATAAATAAAGTGTGAGGTATCTGACTGGGACTGAGTGAAACCATGAGAGAGCAAGAAAATGTCGATTTCCTTATATCATGCACGGGGAGTTTGTTTACAATCGTAGATGGCTTTTCAAAGCTTGCAAACATGAGAGGGAAAAACGACTTCAGGAAGTGGAGGCATATGAACCTCTCAAACAGGGAGCCATGGTGAAAAGCTTTGTTGACATCTAGCAGCCGGATAGGCCATCCATGAGCAAGCGCAAGAGCAAGACAACTCGTATAGTAGTGGGTTTAACAATTGGACTAAATGTACCAGTATAATTAATACTAGATTGTTGATGGAAACCCTTGGCAACCAAACAAGCTTTGTATCAATAAGGTTTTGACTCGGCTTAGAGGGAACTATCTCCTAAGTGCCATTGTGGACTAGGCCATTAAATACTTTGGGCATGGCTATGTGCCATTTTGGATCCCGAAGGGCTTGAAAAACACGAGAAGGATCAACGTTTTAAGGGATTTAGAAAGGGGATGATTGGTAGTGGTACAGCGTTGTTTAGGTTTAAAAATATTTTTGCTGGACCTGACCATATGATGAATATGAGTAGACAAGGTTTGAAGGGATCATTTATCAGATGATGTTGAGTTGGAAGGAATGGGATTAGAAGCCGAAGAAGTAGGTTCAGAAGTAGAATGTTGAGAAAGGGGTTGGGAGGAGAAGTCACCATGTGAAATGGTAGGTACTGTAGGCTGAGTTGGAGGTGGGGATTTGTGGGTGGGAGGAAAGACCCAGGCGGAGTCATATGGGCATTGGGCATGAGTGGTGCAAGTTCCACAACCTGCGGCTCTGGTGGACTGTGGGAAGGAATATGCATGACTGGCACAAGAAATACAAGAGTGGTGCCAGCAAGAGAGAGAGGTAATAAACTGAGTATTAATGGTAGAGGAAGTGACACGAGTGAGAGATGAATCATGAGAGGCAAAGGGAAAAATAGAGTCATCAAAGATGACATGCTGAGAGATGAAGACACAATTGGTGGAAGGATCAAAGCATTTGTAGGCACTTGGAGAGGTGGAACAACTAAGGAAGACACAAGGATTAGAGCAAGGTTTGAGTTTATGTTTAGTGTATGGTCATAACCAAGGATGGCACACAAGAAGCCAAAAACATGAAGCTTGTGGTAGTTCGGGGAGTCAAAAAAAAAGAGTGATGAAAGGGGATTTGTGTTGAAGATTGGATGTGGGAAGCCAATTGATTGAGGTATGTAGCAGTTTGAAAGGCATGGGACTAGAATAAGAGGGGTGCCGAGGCCAGGTGAAGTAAAGCTAGCCTAGTTTCAGCGAGATTTTTATGGCTGACTATATCTTTATATGGTATCAGAGCAAAGATGCTCTCTTTCTGCAATGAATATGTTCACATTACAAAACAATAAAATAAAGGAACAGTACAATTGAAGGCTAAACTTTAGGATTTAATTACATCACACACATGCCCTAAACTATTGAAGGAAACAACCCAGAGCATTGTCAGCTGTGAGGGGGAATTCCTGAATTTATGGGACTTGAATGAGGTGCTGGCTTTGCGGGATTTGAATGGCTATGGATTGCCAGATAATCAGTAGTATATTAACTGAATTTTGAAATAGATTGGTGTGAACATCTCTATAAAGCTCTTTTTAAAATTCATGCTCAGTATTGTGATTCTTAGCTCATACAAGCATTTTAAAGTAAATCACATAATGTGGGTGTTTGAGAAGTGGGTTTTTTTGTAGGTTTTTTTAGTTGTAGGATATTATTAGAGAAAAAAAATTTTATGTTTGGGAAGATAGTTGGGTTTTTTTGTGGTTGGATGTAATGTTTGTGAGAGAAAAAGTGGAATGATTATGGGATTTGATGTGATATTTTGTTTGTATTTGTTTTTTTTTTTATTTTATTTTGTAAACAATTTGTCTTTTAGTGAAAAAAAACACAAAAAAAAAAAAAAAAAAAAAAAAAAAAAAAAAACCAAAAAAATGCCTTCCCAAACAGCATAAATGAGTAATGACCATGGACAATCATCGAGGTGAGGGCAGTAATACTATGGTTTTCGCTTGGGCGGCTTCTTTTTTTCTTTTTTTGGGCATGCTGAAATTGTACTCTTTATTTTGGTAATTGGTTTAATGTTCTACTTATGTTCTTAATTGGTTTCTTTCATATTTTTTGAAAAATATTCTCTTTGTTTTCCTCTTCTCTCTCCTTTTTAGACTTAGATCAAGAAGGGCACTGAATCGAAGCAAAATTTTATGTCCTGGACATACTTTATTGTTCATTTCTCATATGATCACAAGTTGTCATCTCATTAATTTCATTTAGATAATATCTGCACCCTCCAAACGAAAAACAAATATATGAAACTAACATTTCTAAATCTTTTACTTCGTAATTAGATATCTTGTTATCTTTAGATATTCACTTGCTTTAAATGTTTTTTTAGAATACACTCTTCGAGTTCGTGCGGGTGGTGAAGGCACAAGAACAGGTGGTTGCTGGTACGTTGCACCATATAACTCTCGAGGCTGTTGATGCGGGTAAGAAGAAACTCTATGAGGCAAAAGTTTGGGTGAAGCCATGGATGAACTTCAAGGAATTGCAGGAATTCAAGCATGCTGGTGATGTTGGTGACACTCCTGCATTAACCCCATCAGATCTTGGTGTTAAGAAAGGTAGCTAATGATTATTGAATTTTAAGTCGTTTAGTTTTGACTTGGAATTTATTCGATAAGTAGTAGCTGACATGATATTGTTTAATCATATCAAACACTATTTAAGAAAATCTCTGATTGCACAAAGTAACTGTACTAATAATAATGGGAAATGTAAGGGAAAAAAATACCATCCATTTTCTATGAAACTGGACCATATTTCTGCTTGGCTTAATTGATGTAGTATATGCAGCAATTATCAAGTGGCAAGTAATTTTGTGTGCGAGTCTGAGAATCCCTCTGCCTTTTTTTTTTCTTTTTATTTTATTCTTTTCTTATTCCTTCTCTTTTCCTTTTTTCCTTTTTTTTGTCCATCTCCTACTCCTGTTTCTTCCCTGCAAGTTTCAAACCAATGAGAGCAGCCCTTGGATTGTCTTTACGTAGTCCTTTTTCTTAGTGGCCATATCCTCAGATTGTTTATTTGTTCATTTACTTATTCATTTATTTATTTATTTGGGGATGAACTTGTCATGGATATGTTTTCCCCTTATATGATACTATGCTTTCTTTTTTTGTCTTTTTGATTACTCGGTATCCGGCCCAAAGGACCGACTAAGCCGGGGGACCAATCCCACCGTCCACTAGCGGGAGACCCAATTAAACGTATGGACTGGCCCCTCAAGAAATTGTTTGCACCCAGGAGGTTTTGAACATGAGATCATAGAGTGAGCACACCCCCAGGTTCCAGGCCAACCCTTGGGATTTATATGATATTATGTTGTCATTGTCAAGAAAAGGAAAATGTTTATAAATGTTTTTTAACATTTTGGGTTTTGTTCTCTTGTTAGTTTGACCGTCTTCCGGACTTCAAACAGGTGGATTTAGAAAAAATATTCTTTATGTGGAGATTTAATGTAGTCACTGTGATTGTAAAATATAGTTCTGCTGAACTTTAATGCGAACAATATTATGTCAAAAGTTTTGAGTTCTTTCTTTGGTAATGACGATAATGATGTTGGCTGTAAATCAGATGGGCATAGCCCAGGATGGCAAGCAGTGCCAACGCATGATCCTGTGGTTCAGGATGCTGCGCATCATGCTGTGAAAACCATCCAGCAGAGGTCCAACTCATTGTTCCCTTATGAACTTCAAGAGATAGTTCATGCAAAAGCTGAGGTCAGCATCTGTTATCTAGCAATTTATGTGTTTATTTGTCTGAGGCAAGATTTTAACCTCAGATCTGTATTCTTGGAAAGTAGGGGTGATCATTGGTCCAATGGTTAAGACTTGGCCTAATAACTTTGAGGTTATGGGTTCAAATCTTGGAACCATCACTTTGTGCATTATGCCAAAGGTTAGATGTATACTCAATCTTTCCCTTCCCAAACACACATTAATGTATACTAATTAGGCATTGTTTTATATCTGTATTCTTGGAAAATATCATAAAAGTGCAGTTTATACACACACAAAACACTCGGACACACCTCGTTCCCGCTAATGATTGCTCAATTTGCACTAATACACAATACACCGTTACTTCTTTGACTTCATATATGTTTCTTGGTTGTTATAACAGGTCATAGAAGAATCTGCAAAGATTGATATGGTTCTCAAAGTGAAGAGGGGAGACAAAGAGGAGAAATTTAAGGTTGAGGTACATAAGAACAACGAAGGTACCTTCCATTTGAATCAGATGGAGCCAGATCGTTCTTGACTATGAAGTTACCAGTATGCAGCGTCCTGACATACTAATTTTTATTTGGAGGAGTTGTCTTTTACTGTTTTGGCTCTTTTAAGTGGTTTCATGTTCTGTCTTTCTTTTTAATGTGCTGGATGGTTAACTACTTCACTGTCAATAAGATCCTTGTATAATCATATGCTGTGCGGGCGTGCGGGCGTGCGTGTTTTGAGGATGTTTATGGAAGCTTTGTATTTGGTATTATGAGGTTTACCCCTTTTTAGGGGGCTCTTTGGTCTAGTTTTGATGTTGTCAATTTGCTTTTCCAAGTTCCATTTCCATGCTCTCTTCCTTGGGAGATGCATGTCTGCTGTCACTTTTTCGTCTCAAAATTCCAAACTAGCTGATAGCCAGATTTGATGAAAGAGACTACATTGTTATTTAGCTCGTCTCTTTTTCAAACTTTGCTGAAGGGAATTTGGCAGATTCGTCTAACATCTGGTTTTGACTGACCTCCCATTCATCTGAAGACTTGTTTATGAAATGAGTGAGTCCATAGCATCCTGAGATTTGGGTATTTGAATCTTAAAATTAGGACTATTAGGAATCTACTTGCGCGCGCACACACATATATATATATATATATATATCTTATTTTCATCTTCTATCTTCTGTCTATACTACTAATATGTAAATTCTCCGGATAGTTTTGAAATGTGTCTCATATTTTGAGTTTTTCTAAAATACTTTTATAATAGTTATTTAAAATAAAAATTTATATAAGGAAGTGAATGGAGTTTGAACCCATGATGTTAGATCTAAGAAGAAATATCTTTACCAATTTAACAACATATGACTATATATTTTTAAAAATTATAATTTATATTTTATATTCGGACACACCCTCTAGGCTCTAGTATGTATTACTCAAAACATCTTATCTTTGTCTATCTAGTGTGGTGTGTTTGGAATGATTAGAGGGAGGATTGTGATCTCATGTCCAATTTCTATGGAGTCATTCAAATGGGATAAAAGATGGTGAATAGAATCTATGGGATTAAGTTGTAAAACGAAACATTTGCCTCTAAATATTTTAATTTACTATGTATTATATTTAGTGAAAATAAATAAAATATAAAAATTCAATTAAAAATAAAATAAAATAAATTTTTTTATTTTGTTTGATGTTTATTTATTAATTTTTTAAAGAATTTTTTATAGATGTTTTTATTTTATATTTATTGTTATATTTTATTTAATTTTTTATTAATTTTATTAGTTTTTATTTAATTTCATTATTTAATATGTATTTTTTTTTAAAATACATTTTTGGGTAAATTAAAATACACCTTGAGTTTATTAAAAGTACAAATTACCACCTGTGGTTTTGAAAATTACATTCTACCCTAGGTTTCTAATTTCATAACAAATTGTCCATTTTATTAATAAATCTATCAAGTCAATTAACATTTTAATATGTTAAAATATGTTTCAATTAATAATTTATTAATTTTTATTATTATAGAATAATTATGAATTTTATTTTTCGTAATTCTGTTAAAATAAAACTCTAATAAGGGATGAGTCAACTAATATTTTAAACAAATCAGGGGATATATTTGTAATTTACCCTAAATTTATTTAAAATTTTATTTTAAAAATAACATAAATTTTTATTGATGTTTTATTTATTTAATTTGAAAAATAAATTTTTATTTAATCTAGCTAAAAAAATTAAAATATTAAAGACAGATTTAGTATTGATATTACTTAGTAAACAACTGAAAATGATAAAACAATCTATTAAGCATTTATCCTTCATAATATTCTAATCAAACATTAGATTTAATAAAATAGTCATTTTCAAACATTTAATCATAAAAAATAAAAAAAAACAAAAAAAACATGGAATACAAATCCTTTCTAACTAAATAGTCCAAGAACTAGTCCAATGGACTACAATCCCCCCTTTATAGTATTGACACAAATGTGTCTCATATTTTGAGTTTTTCCAAAATACCTTATAACAGCTATTTAAAATAAAAGTTTGAGTACTGCTATTAGCACCCTATCAATTATTTTGGATTCTTCATTTCTTTGGACACCTACTTATAAATTTCAAAACCCTTAAAATTTCTTCCCCCATTCCCCCTAAATAATACCAAATTATCCTTGTGAAAACATTTCACCCATTTAATTGAATGCACACTCCCACACCTCAAAAAGCCTCTCTCCTAAAAATCTTAACAAAACTCACGAAAGTGATTATTATTTCATCTCCACATTTGTTCATGATCTGAGAAAATAAATGTAAATTTTTTTTATTGTTGATTCAAAATTTTTCTTTGTGGGTTTTGCGATTTCCAAGAGTTTTGATTATATGTTCCCGAGTAAATAAAAAATGTTCGATTAGCTGTTCCAGAACAAATGAACAATGTTCAGACCTATGTTCCCGAATTTCGGTCCTATATTCAGGAGTTCAGTCCCAAAAAAATAACGAATTTTTTTTTATTATTTTTACCTTTTTTCTTCAAGAAACTTACCTTACAAGGCTAATCTCTTCTAAACTAAGAACACCATCAAAACTATGAATCTTTTGAGTTTTTATTGTTGTACTCTTCTCGTCTCATGAATTTGTAGTCGGAAAAACTTTCACTTATTGTCATTACCGAAAAAGTGTAGATAATCAAATGGTTGCCACCACTATCGCCGGAATATTGCCGCCAAAGGGTTTTTAAGGTTTTGAGGGTGGATATGTTTTGAAGGTTGAATTTGAAGAAGATGGATGGATGGTGATGGAGGTGGGTGCTCTCATAAACTCTAACTCATGATGTAGTGGGTGTGTGGACTTAATTGTGAAATGGGGTGTTCCAAAATTATTGATATCCTTTTTAGTAATTTCATTTAAGGTTATTATTGTAATAAATAAATTTAAAAAAAAAACAGCTAAAAAATGGTAGTCCAATATAATTGATGGGATACTAATAGTAACTGTCACGACCCAAACCCGGCCCTATGGGTTTAGTACCGTAACCGGCCAGTAATCCGGGATTACCGAAAGCCTGCTTAACAATAATACAGTAAAACAGAGTACAGGGTCTGGCGGAAGCCAAAACAGTAGATAAACAATGTCCAATGAGTTGAGACAGTCTGTATGCAAAAAGACTTTTCATACATATATACATAAACGGTACAGAACAGTATGCACAATATTTACATTCATTTCGATCAGGGACTCAATCCCTAATTACGGTACAATACAGTGCAGTGCTAACAGTCTATACAGTTTACAAAACAGGTACAGAGACAGAAGGGGAGGGGGAATAAAAGACCCCTAAGCCATAGCATGGCAGGCTCGAAACCTCGCAGTGAGGTGCAGTAGTTGGCTTGACAAAACTGGAGTTTACCCCGACGCTTCTAGCCGCGGTCTGGTGCCTGTACACCTACATATATATATGAGCAGTGAGCTAAAGCCTAGTGAATAACACAATGCGTAAAGGGGTTAAGAATGAATGTCCTTACAGTAATTCAAACAGTTCATTGTTTCAGTATATCAGTCATTCAGTCATATGTGGTACATCCGTTAGCATAACAGTACAGTAAGCAGTAGGTCTTAAAGACTAAACAGTAAATGATGGCCATCAGTCAGTAAACAGTAGTGGTTCCAACGAGGGAACCGACAGAGATCTCTGTAGCAGTAACAGTAAACAGTAGGTGCTAAGGATGCCACAATACAGTTCAGAATATAGGACATACATTCAATCAGTTAATAGTAATCAGTTTAGAAAGCAGTACAGTTCAATTGTTCAGAAGATAATCATTTTTGAACATATCTTTACACAGATGTTACTCACAGAGTTCTGGGCTACAGTAAGCTAGAGCGTCTCCTTGGAAAGCCAACCCTACATAGTTCACAGGATGAACACACACTAAGCTACACAGTTGGGAAAGATAATAACTTAATTCCTAATTTGCCTTGGTGTGTTCTACATCTATATCCTCAACAAGATGTCTTAAACTAGGCCTAAGAATGTCTAGAATGGGATGAGGATGCAAAGATGTGATCAGAAGACAGTTTTAGAATTTTCAGAAAAACAGAGTCCCGCTCGAGCGCAGGTTTACTCACTCGAGCGGACATGCAACAAAGGTACACGCTTGAGCGTCAAATCTTCCGCTCGAGCGTACTGTAAAAGTACTGCATGAGTGAAATCTCCGCTCGACGGATGCTCAACGCCCGCTCGAGCGTGATACAGTTGCCTCCGCTCGAGCGTCCAATCCCCCGCTCGAGCGGACTGTAAAACAGTGCAAAGATACTGGATGCTTGGATTCCGCGCTCGAGCGCCACTTTCCCCGCTCGAGCGAGAGCGCAAAATCTGGAAAACCCAGATTGCACCTCCAAGCTCAAACTCAAGTTTAAATGCATCAAAACCGATCCTCTTGGGCCCATTTTCTGGAAAACTCTTATAAACTCATAGTTAAACATGATTCAAAACTCAATTTGAGAAATCAAAGCCCAAGGGTGTTTAATTCAAACTCAATTTCAAACCAATTTTCATGAATATGGAGAACATGCAACATGCATGGATTAAGACCAATTCAAAGCTTCAATTTCATGCTCTAGAGAGCCAAATCTTTCAAAAACAAGATGAAAACATGGTCCTAAGCATTAACATGAACATGCATGCAAAAATCCATGAAGAACAACCTCAAAAAAATGCAAGAGTATGCCATGCATGCAAAGATTAAGCTATAATTCAACAATAATGAACCAATTCTAGACTTAAATCACTAGAGGCTCAAGAATCTTGCATGAATAAGCTTAAACACAACAATGAGAGGTTGAAGTCTTTACCTAGAGCTTCAATTACAAGTGTAGAAGTCCAATAGGCAAATCTCCTATGATCTCTTCAAGCCTTTCAAGCCAATTCTCTAGAACAATTCAACTCTCTCCCTTCCTCTCTCTCTATGGCCGGTTGAACAAGGAGAAGGGACAAATTAAATGTTTTGATTCAAGTATGCAAAGGTTCAATTTGTGTGAAGTAGTGGCCACTAAGTGGTCTAATTGTAAATAAGTCCATTTCATGCAATTTGGTACCATTTAATCTAATTTAATCATACCTAATCAGTTTTCGGATAAATATGCTATAAAATCACATAAATTATGATGATCATAAAACACTAATCGATTTTCGATTCGGCCGCCGATAAGGCCTTCAGTTAACAGTTTAAACACTAAAGTATGAACAGATCAAATAAACAATCAACAGATAGAATGCAATTCAAACAGATGTACTCAATCA